AATATAGAAACAAATACTCCCTCTTTCATATGCTTTCATATGGTCTATAGATACAGATGCAGTACAACTTATGATCATTCTAACATGACTTTTTGCGATATACACATTCATCATTTATCAAAACTTCCATCATAGATTAATACATACAAAATTAAAAAAAAAACAACAAAAAACTTGTCATTCAAATATTTAAACTATTGAGAGTTTTAATATATATTCAAGAATAAAACTTTGGCTTTAAATTAGTGATTTCCCTGATTTAATACTTTTTTCTTGTCCCACAAAATTCATTTTATTTTATATCAGCTTATTTATCAAAAAACAAAGTAAACTTTTATAATACTTCATATCATAATCATCATCATCAAGGTAGAACACTGAGAGGTTATGACTTTTTAAACTATAAATCTTAACTACAATTGGTTTGTTTCAATGCGATTTACAAGTGGGAAAAAATATTTTATAATATCAAAAAATGCAAACATTAAAATATACTGAGGTCACTTGGACATGTAAATGGATTTCCTTTTTAATGTTATTTAATTTCTTTCCCGTAAAATGTCTCCAAAGTTATATATTTATCGATAATTCATGGTAAGTTAGGATGTCCTAACTTAAGGTGTTCCTAAGTCACCGTCGAGATACATCTTATGATATGTCCTAAGTTGATCTTAGGATGTTCCTAAATTTCTTCCAAAGTTATATCTTAGGAATGGTCTTAGGACAAATCTAAGGAAAGTTTCATGAACATGCCTGCAGGAATCCACTACATTAAATTTCTTCATGACAGCGTCCAAACCCACACATCATGGAGAGTAAAGGAGTTTGGGGGATAAACAGAAAGGTATTATTTTGTCACACAATAATAGTCGCCAGATTTGTCACCCTGTGACTTGGTTCATTTTCGAAACTTGAAAAAAACCCTTTCAGTAAGTAAAAACAAATCCAGGAAGTCACAGGATCTGCCATAATCCAGTATACGAAGGGCTATTCTCAAAAATGAGTTCTAAAACCAATCAGAAATTGGATAAAAATGTTAAGAACATGTGTTTTAATTCAAAGAGAATATAAAAGTTAAATTATTTTTACTGAAAAGCGTCTTTTGCTCCTTTCCTAGCATCGAGGGCATTATTTATTGAACAGACCCCATACGTGACAAGATTATGTTGTCCTAAAGACACATGAAACATTCCTAAGATCTATCCTAAGATTATTCTTAAGAATCATAGGAACATCCTAAGATCAACATGTAATAAGATGTATCTCGTCGGTGACTTAGGGACATCTTAAGTTAGGACATCCTAACTTACAATGAATACTTGTTTCTTAAATGTTTATCGATAAATATATAATTTTGGAGACATTTTTACGAAAAAAATTGCCTAACATTAAAAAAGGAAATCCATCTACATGTACATGTGAACTCAGTATATTTTAATGTTTAAATTTTTTGAATTATAAAATATTTAACATCGCTTGTAAATCGTATTGAAACAAACAAATTTTAGTTAAGATTTATAGTTTGAAAAATCACAACCTCTCAGTGATCTACCTTGATGATGTTTATGATATGAAATATTCATATAAAAGTTTGCTTCATTTTTGATTAATAAGCTGATTTCGTAGGACACAAAAAGGTATTCAATCAGGGAAATCACTAATTTAAAGCCAACATTTTATTCTTGAATATTGGAACTCTCCATAGTTTCAATATTTGAATGACACCTGTTCTAAATTTTGTATTTTCTCCCAACCGGTTAATTAAAAAATTAGAACATGTCAATAGTATCATTTTCTCATAATTGCACGTAGTATGCTAGCAGATCGAGAGGAAGGGATGGAGGGCTGGCTCCTTATTATTCACCGAAGATAAGTTTATTGTTATTAATCTATGATGGAAATTTTGATAAATGACCGGTCCAGAACCCACCTTCTCTTATAGTTAATGAATAAGCCCCCCCCCCCCCCTCGCCACCACGAGAATCAATGTTTTTTTGACTAGAAACTTTAAAAAAAAATTTTCATGTCAAAGTTTTCCCGTGAATTTTAGTTTTTGACAAATCTATTACATTTTTCTGTTCCCTTACCCTCAAAGTCAGTAAGATTTTCCCCTTCTTAACATGGCAAAGGGTATTATGTAATAAGAAAGAAAACTCGAAATTTTCAAGTGCGATATTCAGCTGCTTCTTGAAAAGGTGGAACAATATATATATCATTCTCTGTATCAAAACTATCGAAAATTGTAACTTATGTTGCAAAGAAGAGGCCTGTGGGTAACACTTCTTGTTTAATTATTTGCGTAAATCATCAGCTCATACACCGACGGCTGAGAAACAAGAAATTGTTGCTTGTACTTGCAATGTCCAAAATCATAAGCACCACAACAAACTTAGGATGATCATTCCTTAAATGTAGCAGGCTTTTTCTTAACCTTATACATAAGAAGGAAAACTTGCAATGGCATTGAACACGGTGTATAGATATATCGATGACATTTACGTCGTACTATAGTGACCAATGAAAAATACACGTACTTACATACATATATCGACTCGATGTATTCTGGACTTCAAATAAAACAATCCAAGAGATCGAGTTTTACACATTTGTTTCACATTTGAATATTTTTCTTGAAAAAAGATGTTAGTGGTATTTAACTAAAAACTTTTCAATAAATGTGATATCTTCAACTTCTTTATCGTCCACTTCCCCTCATAGGTAGCGATAGCGTTATCACCTAAAATAGGGATCATGTCTCTCGCACAGCGGGTGTGACCGGTTGACAGGGATGCTTATTTCTTTTTGACACCCTATTCTATCTCCGAGTTTATTGATTGATTGATTGTATACTGTTTAACGTCCCTCTCCAGAATATTTCACAGATATGGAGACGTCACCATTGCCGGTGAGGGGCTGCAAATTTAGGCCTATGCTCGGCACTTATGGCCTTTGAGCAGGGAGGGATCTTTATCGTGCCACACCTGCTGTGACACGGGGCCTCGGTTTAAACGGTCTCATCCGAAGGACCGCCCCATTTCGTCCCTTTTTCGACAAGCAAGGGGGTACTGAGGACCTATTCTAACCCGGATCCCAACGGGCGTTTAAGAAGTCCCTGTAAGCACTGCTTTATAACTGTGATATTTCAGTACATTTCTGAGCTTGATTACTTTTCGATATCTCCATATTTCATTTATCATTTGACCGTACATAGAACCACAAGAAAAAATTTCAGAAACATTTTAATGATACATGTACATAAAAGACATCTAAATAATCTATGAGAAAGAAACTTCACTGATGCTTTGCTACAAAATATGCATACACTGCAGTACAAGATAAATTAAAAGACTAGATTTTTTTATGCTATCATGAATATCTGCTTCTTCGATAAAATGAAACTCAGAAATTCTTATATCATGTGAATTGTCATTAACAAAACTAGCGCACTTCATGAAATATTACTATACGTGGCAAGTCTGTGTGAATTACGAGGGCTGTTCAATAAATAATGTCCTCGGTGCTCGGAAAGAAGCAAAAGACGCTTTTTAATGATTTTGTCTTCATTATTTTACTGATTAATCTCTTTTAATGACAACACATGTCCGTAACCTTTTTTATCCAATTTCTGATTGATTTTAGAACTCATTTTTGGGTATGACCCTTGGTATACTGGAAAATGGCAGATCCAATGATTTCCTGGACTTGTTTCTTCCTTATCAAAGGTGTTTTTTTTCAAGTTTGGAAATAGAAATAAGTCAAAAGGTCAAAGATCTGGCGAATATTGTTAATGTGAAAAAATATTAACTATCAGTGTATCCCGAAAACCCCTTTACTCTTCAGGGAGTGCGGGTTTGGACGCTGTCATGAAGAATTTAATGTAGTGGATTCCTGATTCTGGGTCCTTCCTCTAATTAACCTTTCGATTTTTTTGCAAAGATTTTGCTTTCTAGCCTCCTCCAGAAATTAAATTGTCTCCCCGAATACGAATTTGAACAACAATACCACTAATATTTAAGAAAATTGCATATAAATCTGTCTTTGTGCTCTTGCAATTCTTTGCTCTCGCCAGACCTTCCCTGTTTTTGTCAAGTACATCTTATGGTAAATTTTGTTTTGATGATTTTAAGCAATAGATTCAAGTTCCATTATCTGTTTGAATATCCAAAAACGTGGATAACTCCAATTACTGATATTTTAAAGTAATTGCTAAGACATTCATACACGCTGTCGTTTTCACTCATTTTTCAAAATATAGGTTGACCTTTGAGTACTAAGCTTTTTTACCGTCAAACGTTTCTTAAAAACAGTGTAAACTACCCCCGAATGTGATGTCTATCAAATTTGCTATTTGTCTTAAAGTTAATCCTACACCATCAAGTATTTTTTGTTGAAATTTGGCAAACAGTATATAAGTGTTATAATTTTTTGTTTGCAAGGACGGTCTCCATTTTTGATGCCCATTATATAATATTTTATCATTGAAATCCACCTGCTCATTTGTCTATAAAACAGGTTTTGGTTGCTGTAAATGTCACATATTTTAGTGAATATTTCTTTGGGATTTTTAACAAGTTTTACAGCAGCTTTGTTTAAGCTTTTATTTTCACTCTAGTTTACCGATTCTTTACCATTCATTTATAATGCAGTGTCTCGAAAAGCCCTTGTTTCCCAGCTTCTCACAATGAAACTATGTGATGAAAAGTGGTCACATGAACTGTTATAAACTCATTAAAGATTCAATTACGAGAGAAAGCCAATTTTAATGTCATATGATATCTGTATTCTATGTCATACAGTTCAGGACATTATTTAATGAACAGTCCTCGTACACATCAATAATTCACACACAAACCTTCAAAACATTCCATAATCAAATGGCAAGTTCGAGCATGGGGGAAATTGAGCTCATGCAAAAGCAACTAGAAAGCCTTACAAAGAGTTAATAAATTAACAACTTGCAAAAATAAGATGTCACTAAAATTCAATGATCTATACGTGTACATAGTTCATGTATTGAAAAAACACTTTTTGAAGTCAAAGTTTAAAAAATAATTCTCATCGAGTACTGGTACTTCCAGAGAAACAGGTTCAGTTACAGAAACATGGTATACAGTTAAAGCACAAAACATCATTCTCCCACTTATAAGATTTTTGAAATCTCGTGTGTTTTAAGGAATAAATTCAGTTTCTCGCAAAGCAATTCTTTATGGTGTTGACCAATGCTGGGAACTGCTTGAAGAGTATAATCGAGTCCAATACAAATAGAAATATAAAAACGGCCGAGATAACGGCGACACCAATTGCTCCCAGAGATCGAGCAGACGGGCGGTTGTCCATGACGCTGATCCTCTTCCTAAGCTGAGACGACAACTTTGCCTTATTGACTTCCAGCTCTTTCTTTATCGTATGTATAACCTGTGCCAGTTCTGCACTTGTATAATTCCTTACTGGGTGGACTCTGTTACATGGACACTTGCAATCGGCTGAAATAAACGAATCCTCAAATACGTTATTCTCTTAAAAACTTTAAAGTCACAATATGGCGCATCTCTTCAAAAACAGACTTGTTAAAATTTTCCTATAGGAATTGGAATTTTTCTCATACTCATAAATGTATACACTTTCAGAAAATTACAAATTTCATAAGTAAATAATTCTGATTATTTCATTAAAATTAATAATTATTTATGGCCCATACAATATACATCGCAACGTGTTCGAGGTTCCATGGTAAGAGAGGGAAGCCCGGTAGGCCTGCTACATTGACAAAGTCGACCAAAACGAAAAACAAAACCAAAAATAGGGCTGGAAATTAATAAAGCAACTTTCCTGACAAAAATTTAGTTGGGAGATTAATATAATCATTGGATGAAGAAGAAACGGGATCTCGGCTACATTCACGTAGGGCTCGCGAAGGTTCTACCCTACAGGTTTGTTGATACATGCTATCATTTCTCGTATCTCCATGGCTTTCAAAGAAAAAAAAATCAATGTAAACTCAACATAAAAATGCACTTATGACATATAAAAATGATTGCCATTTGAAGTGCAAATTGTATTGGAACTGCAGAAAGATATTTTGTTTGACATTTTGCCGCGATGACGTGTGGTTTAGTGGATTTTCCTTTCCTGCACCCCAATACACAAAACGTCAATCATGTTAAATGCGTCTGAATACAGACTAATATATGTTAACTATTATTAATTTAAAGAAGAGTTAAGATATTTTGATTCTCAGATTTGCTTTTACTTAATATTTCATTATAATCGTAAACCCTACATTGTATGCACGTGCCATTTTAGAATTCACGTGGTACAAGTAAACAGAACTAAGTTGTACGACCCTTGATTTTCCGGCAGATTCTAATTACGTTAATTTTGTATGAGGAGAGAATATTTATTTTTCTCAAATGCTTACTTCAACTTCTTACCTTATTCCTGGATAATATATTGGGTAAATTTGAATGAAAAAGCACAAGATTTACAGCCGTATTGCAGCTTTAAAGATTGCAACTTTTTAAACCCCAAATGTTAAATAAACAAAGAAAAATAGAAGTCAGATTTTCATGGGCGATATTTCGATATTTCTTCATATGTATCGATATGCGTATTGTCCTCACATGTATCACTATATATCGATATCTCGATATATCGTCCCAGCCCTAGTATAAAAATGGCAATTTTAAGGTAATGTCGATGTGTGGCACTCTAAGAGAAATTGATTTTGTCCCTATTCTTATATTTAATCTTAAGGTTACTGAAGAATTGAATATAAACAACGTGATTCTATTTTCTTCCATAATATGTGCCTTTTTTTCAAAAAGGGGTTTCATGATGTGTGTTCAAATTTCTTGAGGCACATTGGTTTCAAAACTATACTATTTTTCTGTGTCTTTAGAATTGATTTAAATTTTCAACCTTTTTTGCAATCATTTGGACTGGTTTTCCCCGGCTGTCTAGTTGTGTAGTTTGTTGGACAAACAAAGCATTGGATGTGACTTCCTGTGAGGTTCTTATAAGTGCCTATTTTGCACTCATCACATGATTTTGTTGTTTCGTTGTATTCTTCACCCTTGTCACAAGTTACTGGAGGAAAAAAAAGTACTTACTAACATTTGACTATCAGGGCACGTTCTTTTGGTATCATTACATCAACAATAAAATCTAATTAACTTAATTGCATGCTGTTAATTTTCATGCAAAATCATATTTGTCATATCTTTAATTCATGTACTGGAATTTTTTCTTTAAGAAAACATACTGTTACTGTTTCTGCAAGAAGAACTGAGTTATTATAATGACAGTTTTTCTTTGAACGTTGCCGGTGTAATATGTACGAGTATATATGGGTACATCCCACTAATTATTTTTAGAATCGGTAGGAGAAGAAAGTAGTGCAGAAAAAATTACAAGTTCCTTAAATTGCAGACTTGCATAAAAAAAATTGGGCAGGTGTACTGAACTGAGCCTCACACTTGTTGATAAGGAGTATCTTTCCTGCCAAAAAAGCTTTGAAAATGTAATTTATCAAGAAGATCAGCCGAATTATTTTGTGTATTATAACGCCAGTGAGAATTCTGAAATTCCCCTACTTTCACTTTCATTTTTAGAGGTTCCCGCAGACAGACGCATTTTGCCGGAAAACGAATCTGACATGCCACCTCGAGATTTTAACCAAGGAAAGACAAGTTGATGTGCTTTGATTTGAGGGGTCACTCACTACCGAACGAAAATTAGGGACATCGCTATGTGAAGAAACGTTAACATTGTCGCCTATGGGAAAACAATTAGTGGACTGTACCCATGCATATATTCGTAAAGTAAGTACGCAGCAATTCAGAGTTTAAACTGTAATATATAATACTAGTATGTAACATTTCCATAGATAACCCCAAGGACGTACCTACGCATTCACGAGATCCTAGTGTTCTTGTAGTTTTACCATCCGGACACTTAGTACAGTTCCACCTTAGATTTTCACTTAACGTAACATTTTTACTTGATGTGTTTTTAAAATATCCAATGTCGCAAAGAACACATGTTCCATTGTCAGCCAAGTAGAGTCCTTCTAGGCAATGCTCTGAAATAACAGCAAAGAACATTTATCTCGGGTGACATTCACAAAAACATATACCCGGTACATTGTATGTACACCAAGGTGATTTAATTTTTACGACCACATTGCAATACTAATATTCTGATATTGTTTTTTTTTTTTTTGGCTTTCAGCAATTGGAAATACATGTATTTTCCTATAGAAAAATGCATTAATGGTATGATCTTTAATGGTGAATGGTACTATTTGTAACTTCTCTACTGTCAACTTCCCCTAATTATTTAGCGATATACTGGTACCTTTATCACCTGCCTATGGGAGTTATGTCCCCAAGTTGATTCTTAATGCAATCGTGAGTAGTCTCTACGTACAAAAATATACTAAAACGAAGTAAGCTATGAACAAATAAGATGATGAAACAGTATTATTTAAAGTATTTATTTCGCAAATCCTATGGTCTACACAATGACCTTGTCCGCAAATACAATCCATCATTAAGTGAATGACTAATGTCGACAGGGGATAGTTATTCATTCATGGCACATGACCCCACCTCTGATGTTTCTAGAGGTCAATCTTTGTTCTGCTCACGATTCTAAATGTTGAAGTAGACATTTGAACTGATTACTGTTTGTTATCTACGAAGAGCTTTATAAGCAATTCTAGAAAAATTTAAGCAAATGTTTTCATCTTATATAACGACACGTCCAGAATATTGTACATATAGGTTATATCAACGAATGCTTGTTTTACCTAAACATGCATCTTTATTTGTGCCAGAACGGTATGTTGTTTTCCCGTCTTTGCACTGGGTGCAATTCCACCTCAGTTCATAAGAAAGTGAAAGATCTTTACTGGAAGTGTTTTTGTATTCCCCCACTGGACAAGGCAAGCATACACTTCCATTCCAAAAGCTGCCTTCTAAGCAATGTTCTAAAACATATTAAAATATATAAACAAATTTCTTCTTTCATAAGCATTTTGATGATTAATTATTTTACAAATCATATTGGAATACGTCTTGGTAAATTTGCTTTTATTTGAATACTGCGCTATGCATTTATGTTATGAAATATTTTTTCTCACAACCGAGTCTTCTTCATCTTTTTTTTTCATCAAAGAAGAAGATTTACCGGTATTCACATTAAGTATATTTATCAAACAAGCACGAAAATTTAAGCCCTTGCTAAGATTATTTATAAATTTCAAACGAGAATACACAAAGCTAATGCTTTTTGGAAATCTAGATTGCTCCCAGTACTATATCGTACCAATACAGCCCTCTTCGTGTACAGTCCCTCTATTTAAGGTGGTCAAATTTTCCCGACAAGCTGTGCAGTTCCATCGTTCCTCAAAAGAAGCAGTAGTGTTGGCACTTGATATGTTTTTATAGAAACCTATTTCACACTCAGCGCAAGAATTATTATTCTGCAGCTCAAAACCTTCCTCACATATATCTATAATTTAAATTAATACGTGTAATTATTTTTTTTTCAAAGTATAGTCCTTGTATTTATATTTCAGTGATGGACCATATTGTTTTTACCATTTTTTTAATTTGAAACATTTTTTCTTTTGAAAAGATAGTTAGCTAGGCCTAGTATATTTTTTAGCATTCATTTCAGTTACTGACAAAAAATGTTTTTGCTGTGCTTTAAGCTTGTTCTGTGAAGAAAAATAAACGTATATTTTAGATAATAAAACTTTTCTAATTACACAGTCATGTACATGTATTTGAAAAAAAAATTGAAAAGAATTCTTGTTCAAATTGTAAATCGATTTCTTCCCCCAAAATATCTTAGCATATTATTTATTTGAAATGTGGAACGAGATGACATACCAATACAATCTGTAAACTGGACGTTGCGTTCAGTAAATGTAGTTTTCCCCACTGGACACTGAATACACCAGAATCTATCGGAAACACTCAAACTTATGTTTTCTGCCGACGTGTGTTTATAATACCCAACTGGACACGGTTCACATTCCTTTCTTTCTCCTCCTACTCTGGTTTGTGACTAGATGAAATATTCAAAGTATATTTGCTTATATGTCTTATATACATGTGTTTAGGTGAAAGAGATTTAAAAAAACAAATTTTCTTTCCTCATCACTATTGTACAACATTAAATAGAAATGGTAAAGTGTGTTAAAAAAAACTAGGAAGGACTATATTATTTTTAGGAATGTTGGCGTATTAAAATATCTCCTTTCCTGCCCCTCAAAAGGTTATCATAGAACAATGAATTGAGTTACATAATCAAAGACTTAAAGAAATCTACAAATGTAAGTGAAATTAATGATAAGGGACTAAAATTATATCAAATATGACTATATGACTTTTCAAACAAACTGAAACTTTGTTAGCTTTTAAAAGCTTCCAATATAGGTAAACAAAATAGGTTAGCCAAAAATCCATAAAAAATATTTTTCTCTCTAAGTAATCGATAAAAATATTTTGCTTTTATTTCATTTTATATCTTTATGTGACACTTTACTATATGTGAAAGAAAGAAAAATCTAAATATAAGAAACATATAAAATAACTACTATATTCTTAAAAAAAATTAAGAAAAGTAGAGGAAATTCGGATTAGCCAATATCCATTGCAGTTGAATTATTTTTGTCAATGTCATCTACAAGGCCTTTTAAAATGGTAAAATCTTCTTATGCAAAAAGAAAAACATTCAATCTTTTGAAATGCTAGTAGGGATCGTATGATTATTTACAGTAACTTTTAAAGGTACTTGGACACAGATTTGAAGTCAATATTTTTTCTATAATATTACGACATATATTTTAATAGCATTTCACAAAAAATCAATTAAAAATCTTTTTTCATTTGAAAGTTATTTAAACTTTGAATTTTTTTGCGGGTTTGATTAACTCATCCTTGCACTTTCACAAATTTTAACCTTATTCTTAATCCTTAGGAAAAGTGGCAATCTTGTGGTGTATTAATGAGAAATATTAAAACTTCTATCCAGAAAAATAGTTTTATTCCGAGTACAAATGTTAGAAAGCAAAACTCCCTCACAGGTATCATCATTTCTAACTAAGGGTTGCTTACAGAGTTTAGCAAATCGAGCACACTCGTGTTATGTACACAGTTTTTGTAAACAGGGCTCGAGTTCTGTCATTGTTTATATTTAGAATTCACCGGGAGCGTTCAATCATCACAGCCTGCTTACCACAACTGCACGGACTGACAATATATTGTGTGTATGTTTTGCTTCCGAACATGTCTACTCTGAATTTTCTGGATTATAGTATTAATATTTTTCATTTATACACAACGACACACTTTTCCTAAGGATTAAGAATAAAATTAATTCGTGAAAGTGCAAGTATGTGTCAATCGAACCCGCCAAAAAATTGAAATTTTAATATCTTTTATATATGAAATAAGATTTTTAATTAATTTTTGTGTGAAATGCTATTAAAATATATATGTCGTAATATTATAGAGAAAATAATAACTTCAAATCTGTGTCCAAGTACCTTTAAAGCAATATGAGCTGCATTTTTGAGAATTTTATTTTGCTGGTAAAATGTGTTATGATAAATTTGTACGTAATTTAAACCCTTATGATCAATAAGACCAAAATAAAGTTTAAAAAATGTTTCAGAAGAAATATTTCTGTACGACTTAATATACAGTATTATATAAGAAATAATGTACAGGACGACAATAATTCAATTTTGCTTCAATCAAAGCTTATAAAAAGTTCTTTCATCGCATATATGAAGAACAGAAGTTCACAAATGTTCTATTTTTCGGTCAATGAAAAAGTAAGTTACAAATTTGCATCAAAGTTTTCCGATGTCAAACATGCAGCTCATATTGCTTTTATTAATGTCCAGGGAAAATGTAATGGCCAAGACCTGACCTTGTCTCTAATATAAGGCGGTCAAATTTAAGCTCATTGATACCAACACTTATTGATTTTGTCTTCTTGATTCTGAAAAAAATTCATTAATTTTTTAATACAAGAAATATGAGAAGAATCCTACCTTAGAGGAAAGAGTCCCTGTTACGACATTTTCTCTGTACAACGTATCATTGTTCGACGTATCGTTATTAAGCTGCATTCCCTCAGTGCAAATGGCTTTGAAATACAAAAAAATACCACTACTACAAAATTTGAGTTGAATTTTTATCATTCAATACAGATAAATGTCTATTTGAGTTGAAATACCTACGGACACAGTCATTTTGTGAGCTACTGCTTTGATAAAATGTAGTGTAATTCTCTCCACAAGACTGACATCTGAGCTTCCACGACTTTCTTTCACGGTAAAATCCATAATCACATGCTTCACAAGTTAAAAACATGTTCATACCCTCACCCCCAGGACATCCTAAATAGATAAAACAACCGTATTAGAGTTAAAAAATATACCTTCTTCGTTGATTAATAAGGTAAGGTGGATAACAATAATAAGGTAGTTAATAGTAACGTAAATACTCAATACACCCCAGTCCACATCATTAACAAAAAAAGTCTATTTCATGTTTATCTACGATATTGAGAAGTATTTTATGTATATTTTTTTTTCAAAAATTAATAGACAGGGTAAAAAAATGTACCAAGCTGCTCTAGCTTAGTAAATCTTGACCCAACACCCAGTTTAATATGAACTACTAGTATTCACAAAAAGTAGGAGATAAATGTACTGTATTTTGTGATCAAAATGTTCACATATTAAAAGGGATGCTAAACCATGTTGCCATGTTAACTAGGAAGCATCACCCAAACACTTCAATCACACTCTCTCGATCTGCACGGGATGCAACTTATGATCAAGGGTGTTGGGCTACAAAGATGCATGCTTCTGAACTGGAAGGTTGAGGCCATTCTAAAGAAAGATTCTGACGAAAAAGCATCAGTTGATGAAATCGTTAATTAAACAGAAACCATGCGCAGTCTAACACAGGATGAAAGGTTACGTGCCCTTGGCTTGCTGCAGGTTGGCACAAGACAGAGCACTGTGGTAAGGGAAATAAATGTTTCCCATTCTGCTATCAGCAGATTATGGTCCAGACATCGTGCTACAATGTCTGTTCAGGATAGACCACGAAGGGCAACAACTCTGGCTCAGGACAGATTCATCCGCACTATTGCCTTAAGAAACCGTCTGGTAACTGCAAATCAGATGTCTCAACCTCAAATGGATAATGGCTTGGCATTGAGTGGCCAGACCACCAGGCATCGACTGCACAGATTTCACTTACACGCCCGACGTCCTCGTGTCATTCCCCGTTTGAGGGATCATCACATTAGGACCCGACTCCAATGGCGTCTTCACATCAATACTGGGATAAGTGGATGTTCACTATAGACTGCCTGGGCAGACACAGGAATGTTTTGCACCAACCTAACGAATGTTTCCATGACGTTAACTTCATTAGACACCTCATGTTGTGCCGTTTGCACGTCTTTATGGTGCCGTTTAATTTTTCAAGATTACAATGCCGAATGTCTTAGGGCCAGGATCGTTACAGATTATCTCCAACAGCAAAATATCACCAAATTACCATGACCCTCACTCAGTCCAGACCTTCCTACCATCGAGCATGTCTTGGACCTGCTTGTACAGCGGCTACGCCAACATCAACGAGTGCTTGAATTTGGCGTTGCCGCTGTACTCTCTACCAATGCTTAAGCGCTTGCTGCAGCATTGCAACAGGAATGGAATAGCCTTCCCCAAAATTAGCTGGGACGTCTCTTTAGGAGTAGGCCACGCGGAATCAAAATTTGTATGACCAACAAAGGGTTTTTACACTCTACTAACCCCGTTTCACATTGGTGGTAAATTGGCTGTGTGACCCAATGTTGGTGTCGACCCTTACTCTGGAGAATCTGTCCTTTTCTGACTGTACACATGAAAAATGAATAAATTGACAAATGTTTTCTATTGTTTTTCTGTCATTTGGCTGCTTCCTGACCTTATTATCTGCATTCCATTGTCCTTATAAATCCAATATTCCCTACTTTTTTAAAGATAATGCACCAATCACCAGACGTACGAGGGCTGTTTGAAAATTATTGAGACATTGTGTATATTTTTCTTTCTATTGAACGTCTTTCGATGAAAATTTGCATATACGTTTGACATACACTAAGAATTAATAAAAGCAAGAAATATTGTACAAATATCATATATTTTCTCTACAATGGTATATAAATGCGTCAATAGTACGGGTACCCGGAGCAGTCCCGAAATCAGATATTGAAAATATGTAACACCAACGTTCTAACTCTTTGTGGATCCACAATAAGAGAGTCAATAATACAACTTATGTGTATAATTTTTCAACTTTATTGTACCCCCGCTTGAAAAGCGGGAGGGTATATAGTAATCGTTAATTCCGTCCGTCTGTACGTCCGTCCGTCCGTCCGTCCGTCCGTCTGTTACGCTGTGGGGTACCCTTCTCTTATCCGCAACTCCTCTCATACCAATGAAAGAAATTTAATGAAACTTTCACAGAATCTTTATTACATATTGCCATTGTGCAAATCCTATTTTACTTCTTGATCTGATATATATTTTGAATTTTCCAGAGCAAAACATGGATACTGACATTATATTCATATGGGAGGCGGGGGGTATTATTAATGCCTAGGTCACATTTTCCGGCCGGTAGCCGTGGACCGGTGGTAATCGGTGGTAATCCGTGGTGTTAACGATGCCCCAACATCGGTACACATCGGCCCAGTAGTCCTTTAAATATCAGTCACATTGTCCAGCGCTGGGTATACGATGGGCAACCAATGCGTTTTATGATAAAAATGGCATGGTTGCCGGTCGGACTTACAAAGGCCCAGCGATGCATTGCTAATCATAAAACGATGTTCCAGGATAATCGGCTGATGTATATTACATCGCTCATACATTAGTGAACATCGATCGTACATCGGTCGACTACGGACCAATGTTTCCTCGAACATCGACCGATGATCGGCCGTTATCTTTTGAATACTACTCAACCCTCCGATGACCTCAGATTCAACAGATATTGGACGATGCTCGGCCATACATCAGCCGATCCTTGAAAGATGTGTTAATGATGGGTTGCCGATGAGGAGCGATTTGAGGCATCGTTGGAGACATCGTTGAATTTTAACTACGAATTATTTCCTACCGATGACCCCACCGATTCGCAAAATGGCCTCAGTCACCGTCCGATCACTAGTGGTGTCCGGCCGGCAACCACGCCATTTTCAACAAAATATGCATCGGTTTCTCATCGTATACCCCATCGCTTGATAATGTGACTGATACTTTAGTGAGCTCATTGCTCACACTACCTCTAGTTTCAAATTAATGTTGTGCATTTTTTTTGTTTTTATCAGAAATAAGGAGACCATAAAAAAATTAAGCGCGGTAGAGAAATCTGCTAACAATGACAAAATGGATTTTGGCGTCAAGGGCGGAGCACCCAGCATACCTAAAAATTTTGTGTAGCGCAATGTAGAACTCTTTTCCAGACTGAACGACCTGCTAAAACAATAACAACGACAAAAAGTAATGTATATGTTTGGTATTTCATTGGTATACTTTTTTTTGCAATTAATTCCAACCAGAGTAAAATTAAAAGCTCTGTACTACCATCATTTATTATGTTCGATATTAATATCGTTACGGTATCAATAACGTTGACCCGCGTTGCATAAATCGGAAATGCATGATTCTTAGAGTCATCCTTTCCAACAAATGAAAATTTTACACTTGGGAAGCAACAGCATACATTTTTAAAGAATAGTTAAAGAAAAGAGACTGTTTGATTTTTGTAATGTTGTAAGTAATAACAAAGAAGGAAAATTTTTAAACACTTCTGTAACGTTTTACACGTGAAACCATCTCCGGCTGACGTGACGTTAAATGAAGTAGCTATGTTGCTCCGGGTCGATAGACATATGCATATTTATTATTTCACCGAAACTTATCTAATTATCACAGGAATTAGATATTTTGCAGGAGTGTTTTATTTGTTCTTTATAAAATGTTGATAAATTTTCATGAAATTATCTCCGTCCTTTATGGAGTAAATGTAATTGTTTCAATAATTTCCGAATAGCCCTCGTATAACTGAATATGAAATGTTTATAAATAATCAATGAAGGAATATTATTTTTTGATAGTTGCTATCTGTTTGCTATAAAAATAAAATTTCTCCAATATGCTTTCTAAAATTCATGAAATGTTATCGATATTTAGGATTTTTGTTTCATGAATCCGATTTTTTTTTTACAATGTAGGAGGTTTATAAGAATAAAACGCCGTCGAAAAAATATCAATGATTTCTATTTAGGCCCTTCTGTCAGAATAAAAATCGTTCTTTTCTACCTTCTGTCACATATATTAATGCTTTTACTTTGTACTTTATATCAAACAAATAGATTAATATTAGATTAACTACAAAGATTTATGATAATCGTGGTGACTTCAACTTTTCAATGTCATTTCCCCTCACGTTGGTTGTTTATGCCCTTATATCCTGAGTATTGGGTTTAATTCTCAGCTGATTCGATATACAGGAGGCTTTTCGTAAGAAGTAAAGAACATTTTTCAAACGAGGTTAGTTCTTGATAAACAAGCTAATGAAACCGGAATATCAACAACCTCGTTTAAAGTAACCATTCGAAAATTCTATGGTCAATACATTAACCTTTTCAACAAAACATATCATAGGGTCAGATGGTGTTTTGATTGTTAAGCCTTTGTTTACATACTAGGTTTTCTGCGGATTTTTTTTTTCGTTCGGGATGTTTGCTCCCTCATGGCACCTGATCCCACCTCTGGAGTCCGTGTTTGCTCTGCTCCTAATTTGTGTTGTTTAATTGAACCTTTGAATTTGAATGCAGTTCCTAATGTTTCATGATCTCTATTCTTAACCTTCTATCAGTCGAATTTGCCCATGATTTCTACTCTATCATTTATCGGGTTTTATTCTGAACTTTTTGTCACACGTATATATCGATGATGACACAGTGCAGACACATATGGTGATAGCTGCAGATCTTTATCGTTATGGTTATATATATTTGTCTTTGACCATAATGCTACAGATTCCGTATTGCAAAAAAGGTGCAATTTGCGGCGCAATATTTTTTGCGCACTTTTGGGGAGAATTTCTCTTCTTTCAAGAACTGTTCAATCAACTACCTTTCACTCCCTAATTCTAGGCACATTATTTAATTAATCTGTATAATTATTCTGTCTCCAAACCCTTTATAGTCGCCTCTACATGTGAAGAACTCGCTTGATTAAAATTATAACAGATTACAATTCATATGATAAATTATGAAATCATAAGGCTACAGAACTGCAGCTAATATAAAGATAACGTAGCTGCA